CCCCAAAACCCCAAAACCCCAAAACCCCAAAACCCCAAAACCCCTCTCATTAAATTATAGCTGAAATTGTTGATTCTAGACGTAGATGTCTTTCCAGTAGAATGGGACCTTAAGGCCCAGCTCTTCGCTAAACAACTTTCTCAATGTCTCTGATCCCTCTAGTTGAATCTGGTATTCGTCAAGAGCCTCCTCTGATCCGGTTCCCTTCCCTCCTGAAGTATCGATCATTTCTTCATCGCTAGACTCTTGGCCTCCAATTTTGAGGAGTAATTTTTGGTAGGCAAGGCCTCCAAGTACATCAACTCCTTCAAGAGAGAGCAAGGTGAAGATAATGACCTCCATTTCCTTATTAGCTAACTTCTTGAAAATACTTGTTCCTTGGCCAGAAGAGGGCATATCTTTAAGTTCATCAAACTCTGTTTTCTTTTCCTCAATCCAATGTCCAAATCTTTCATGCCCTACGGATAAGAGACTATAGCTTACCTTCTACAAAGCTAGAGAATGAAGCACTGGCAGCTATTATATTAGACACTAAAGGTCTTACCAAAATGAGGATTTTCGAAATAGAATATCTTTGGAATCTGGAACTTAGATACTCTAATCTTTCTAACTGGGTTATAAGTGCTCGTTAAGATAACAATTCTTTTGAATCCTCCTTCTGTGAACCATTTCTCAATCTCATCTGAAAATTCCTGAAGTCTTCCTTTAGGGACACTGCTCCTGAAGGCAAAAAGTGCGACCTTTGCTTCAACATTTGTATACACTCAATTATGAAGGACCAGTTCTCCAGTTGGCTCTTTATGGCTTAAAATATCATTTCCTACCAAAGGGTCCATATGCTCTGAGTCAAAGTACCCTACATGGGCATATCCATGATTCATGATCATCAGGTCGACGCCTAGGGATGGGGATTCCCCATGGCTCTCAGGAGAGGGGATGACCAGAGTATGGTCTTTAAAATCTGCAGCTTTTCCTTCAAGTGGCACAAACATATTGTTAATAATTATTTATTAAATCTCAACCAAATTCCTTCTGAAAGGGGTTTTGGGGTTTTGGGGTTTTGGGGTTTTGGGG